ACTTGTTCAAAAGCTTGCATGCTAGGTTGGCAGAGCATGCTAGTCCCACCGTGGCCAGGCATATTTTTCAAGCCTGCCCGGTGTGGATATACACTCAGAGTAACATCACAAGCATCTTATTCACCTGAGTACACTACGCCAACACAGAAAATATCTCTGTACAAATATTGAAAATGCAGAATAGGTGATGTGCAACAACTCCCATGGGATTCAAAGGACAAAGAGGTTTTCGCCATGTTGGATGATATTTGCATTGCAAACAAGCAAAATCCTTTGTCAATGTCATCCAACATGGCGACGGTGACGTAACTTGCACACCATCCATAGGTAGTAACCGAAATCAGGCCCACATTACACCAAATATACTTCGACAGACTTTGTTTTGCAGCCAGCGATTGAGGCAAGTTGCAAACGACCTACTTTATTCTCAAATGTTGCGATTAACAACGTCGCGTTATATAATTCACTGTTTACTGTTGAAGCCATATTTCAAGTGATATGCAAATTACAAAAGAAGTAGAATAAATTGATTTCTGTCCATGTTCTAAAATCATGCACAACATTACTGTATGCATGTAGTATATATATACCGATCAATGTTGTTTTGAATTATAACTACATGACTACAAAGTTTGCACCAAAAGGGTCATTGACACAGAGATGAACGATTATCACTTTTTCAATTTTATAGAAGAACTTTATCACAAAGGGAATCGTATACATCAAATACTTTTAAAAGCCGGTTACAGACGAGCAGGTTTTCTATGACAAGTTTTTATGTAACAAATTTTATTTGCTCGTCTGTACGCGCAACTTTGACATTTTTTTCTATGACAAGTGCACTTGTTCAAAAGCTAGCATTTTTGAACAAGTGCACTTGTCATTTTGAACAAGTGCACTTGTCATAGAAAAAATTGTGAAAGTACAAATTTTGTTCGTCTGTATGGGTCAACAAAGAAAACTTGTCAAAGTAATCTGAGCATTTGATGTGATTGGCCAGCTGGCTACTAATAAATTGTCAATGTAAACTTGTTGACACGTTCACACACCAGTAAATAAAACTTGTCATATGAAAATTTGTCATATAAAATGTGTTGCATATACACAAGTGCACTTGGCAAATAAAACTTGTCAAATAAAAACTTGTCATAGAAAACTTGCTCGTCTGTAACCGGCTTTACTATAAAGACTTTTTAAATACTTTCTTCACTGTTTCATACAATTCAAGGACTTATCAAACACCTTAAAAACTACATAATGGCTACATTTCAGAGACCGCTACAAACCCTGCAATTTCTGCACCAAAATCGAAGGTGCGAAAACAATTCACAAGCATGCAAAGCTGAGAAACCCTCAGACAGCCACCTTAAAAGGTTAATAAAAGTTTTGATACAACTTCTTACCTGAATGTCAAGGTTCAAGTCGTTTATCTTTTGTTGTAATCTCGCAATGGTGCCATTCTTCTCGGAACTTACTCGGTCCACTTTTTCATACATTTCCTGGAATTATCGTAGAATATGTGAGCAATGGAACGCAAGAAAACACACGCGAAAAAACCTCAACAGGATGTGTTCGCACTGCTTGTTGTTCAACAAGTCTGGAACAAGTCCTCATGAAACAAGTCGTTAACAAGTTGATGTCAACAAGCTCTTAGCAACTTGTTACGAACAGTTTTCCTGAACAACTTGTTAGTGTTTGCTCATTAGTCTTGCTGGAACAACTTGTAGCCTGTCTGTCACTGTCATCAACCTCGTCACTGTCTGTCACTGTCATCAACCTTGTCACAAGGTGATACTAACTTGTTGCAGACTTCTTACAACAACTAGGAACAAGCAGTGCGAACACATCCTGTGCCAAATACGAAATACCTTCCACATACCTTCAGTAAATCTTCTTTCTCAGTTAAATTGTCCATCATTTTTTCATTGTTAGCTTCGTAACTTGCTATCATAGCAGACCTTTCCGCCAGCAAATCCTGAAGTGAGATGGGAAAATAACAATTTACATTATAGGTTTAAGAGGGTTGTT